ATATAATTAAATTGTAGATGTTCAGAGTAAGAAAAGGTGATTTTCTGAATAATTGTTTATGTAAACATTATAAACGTAATTAATTAAACGAATATTTACATTTATAGCTAATTTTATAACTACTTACTAGCTAAAAAATGAATGAGAATAATTGACAGACTTATGCCTAAATTTTGAGATAAATCGGTCGTGTTCCTGCGCTGGTTTTTGCAAGCAGGCTTGAATTTCGTTCTAGAGTTTTGCCGTTAGCCGGAGTTTTGTAATTATTAAAAAGTTCTTTTGCTGATCCACTGGTCATACCATTTGACAAATTAATTCTAACGAACAACGATTTCTTCATAAAGAGTAACATTGCAATCTGGTTGTATTTTTTATTTTTATAATAATTACATTGAAAACCAAAAAACCAGAAGAATCATCAAGAGTCGCTCGACTTTCTAATGATATGTTCTCTACGTCTATATTCTGCTTATTACCTCAAACAGTAGGACCAATAAAGACAAGATAATATTTTTTCGTCTTAATAAAATCGCAAATCGCTTGATTGCTTTTTAAGTACCGCTCAGAACTTTAAGAGGAAAGATCCCACTGCATATAATTTTTATAAAACACACAAAAAATCGCATGGTTTTTTTATTATTTTAAAAACATTTATTAGTCAAAGAAAACTAATAATTGTTTATTCAGAAAGGATAACATACATTCATCCCTGTATAAATCCATAGAAACAGAAAAATTATCAAAAATCGCTTGACTTCCTAATGATCTATATTTATGTAAGAATAGTAAACGTCTATTCTGCGTAATTCCTAAAGTAGGAACATGAGTGTTTCGTCTCAAGTGAAATCGCTCGATTTCCTCTTAGAAAATACCACCCGGTATTTTAAAATACATTATTTTTGTATAGAATTACTGAAAAAATCGCATGATTTTTTCAGTATTTAGAAGGGATAACACATTTTCCCTGTATAAATGCAAATAAAAACTAATATCATCAAGAAATGTCCGACTTCCTAATGATATATATTTATGCAAGAATAATGAAGATCTGTCTAATCTGCTTAATCCAAACAGTAGGGTTAAGACAAAGTTAAATAAGTATTTCGTCTCAATGAAATCGCTCGATTTTCTCTTAAAAAATACCGCCCGGTATTTTAAAAGATATTATTTTTACATAGAATTAGTACAAAAATATTTAGAAGGGATAACACACATTCTTATCTGAATAAGTCCATAAAAACAGAAAAATATTCAAGAATCTCTCGACTGCCTAATGATCTATATTTATACAAGTATAGCGAACGTCTATTCTGTTAATTCAAACAGTAGGGTTATGACAAGGTTAAATAAGTATTTCGCCTCAATGAAATCGCTCGATTTCCTCTTAGAAATACCGCCCGGTATTTTAAAAGATATTATTTTTACATAGAATTAGTACAAAAGTATTTAGAAGGGATAACACACATTCTTATCTGAATAAGTACATAAAAAGAGAAAAATCATCAAGAATCGCTCGACTTCCTAATGATCTATATTTATACAAGAATAGCGAACGTCTATTTTGTTAATTCAAACAGTAGGGTTAAGACAAAGTTACATGAGTATTTCGTCTTAATGAAATCGCTCGATTTTCTCATAGAAAATACCGCCCGGTATTTTAAAAGATATTATTTTTACAAAGAATTAGTAAAAAAGTATTTAGAAGGGATAACACAAATTTTTAAAGTCCATATAAACAAAAAAATCATCAAGAATCGCTCGACTTCCTAATGATCTATATTTATGCAAGAATAACGAACGTCTATTCTGTTAATTCAAAACTTAGGGTCATAAAGTCAAGATTAAATGAATATTTCGTCTCAATGAAATCGCTCAAGTTCCTCTTAGAAAATATCGCCCGGTATTTTAAAAGATACTATTTTTACATAGAATTACTGCAAAAGTATTCAGAAGGGATAACACACGTTCTTCCCTGTATAAGTCAAAACAGAAAAATCATCAAGAATCGCTCGACTTCCTAATGATCTATATTTATGCAAGAATGAGGAACGTCTATTTTGTTAATTCAAACAATAGGATGATAAAAGACAAGATTAAATGAATATTTCGTCTCAATGAAATTGCTGGATTTTCTCTTAGAAAATACTGCCCGGTATTTTAAAAGATATCATTTTATTTTTATCACGATTTTTTCAAATTCAAGAAATATGACGACGACAGCGATGTTGTATAATACGATATCCAAACAAACTTTATTTATAGGATATTTCGAGGGAACACATTAATGCTTTGTTGATGTTAACGAATGTAAAATTTGCTTAGAATGTAAAATATTGATTGGTAAACGAACCAAAACGAATTATTCTAATTATAATTACTTTAAAATATAATTGCATTGTTTTATAAAATAAAGTAGTGTTAGATTCGTGCAATATTCAAGACGCCGCCACTGCCTAAGCGATACTTGGATCTTGGATATTGGATACACACACACATACGCACTCGGCGAGTAGAAGACCGAAAAAAAAAGACACTTATGATCGACGTGGGTTCATATGCACACGTTCGACGCTCTCTAAATTTTGATTAATAACGATTGTTAATAACTTTTTGGGTATTAATACATTTTATAAGAAGTGATTAAGTGTTTAATTTGGTGAATGTTTATATTTGAATAAAAGACGTATTATTTTATTAAAAAAATCCAGTGGTTTGAATAAAATATAAACTAATAATTATTAAAACAAAAACGATCAATTAAATCTTAAAGTAGTTTATTTTCGATATTCAGAAGGGATAACGTACGTTTTCACCTGTATAAACAATATTTTATGTTAATGATGAAATAGTATAACAGCCTACCTGTTGATTCTTCGTCAGAGCTATACTCTTTTTATTTGTTCCTGTAAGTATTTCACCTAACTGCCTTAGCAACTTTGTTTTGCACTGTTTTTATCCCGATCTTAAGAAAAATGAGCGCGTTTTAGCATTTTTAATTTTTAAAATCACTTTTAAATATAATTTAGTCCGTTGTTGATAAGCACGAAAAAAGGAATGATATGCAGGTTTGGTATACGATAGGAACAGTGAATATGGGGCATTTTGTTTACTCTAGAAAAAATACGTGTCTCAAGGAAATTACAATGTAATTATATCAAGGACAAGCGAAGGAAAATAACAAAGCACCAACGAATCACACGAAAGCATGTCATCAATGAATCTATAAATCTATTTAGCATCTACTAAGTAACGCAAAATTACATAAAAAACTTCTCTTATAATAGGAATTATAATAGGAATTAGCACAAGGCAATTACTATCAGTGAGGTTGTTTTGCAGCCAATCAAATATAGTATATTACATTACGAGTGTGGAAAGTGACATTTTTCACACGAGTGCGACTATCACACGAGTGTGGAAAATCACTTTTCACACAAGTGATGTACAATATTTTTCCTACGACCACAAAATAATTTCATCAAAAAATGTAAAACCAGATTATTATAATAATTAAAATGTATTTAAAAAAATAATCAACAATAATCGTATTTATTAAATTTTCATAATTTCTAAACAAATAAAAAAAAATAAAAAAAAAAATAAAAAAAAAAATAAAAAAAAAAATCTGGCACAGCCAGGATTCGATCGCGGTCGTTGGACGGTCTCAAATTGCAAAGTTGATGCTCTAACCAACTGAGCTAACAGGCCTTATGGTAATTGATTGATCTAATCGCTTATGTGTTTAACCAGAATAAAAAGCAAATATATCTTAGTTATTTTAAAATTATTTTAAAAATAATTGTTAAAGATAAATATCTAGGATCTAATTTACAATAATTTAACAATCATATCGATTTTAGTATTAATATGGACATTACATAGATCAAAATAGAAATTATGTGTTTGACATTTTCTGACAGCTACTGCGGAAAGTAGCATATTCTCACTTGGGTGGAAAGTAAATTCTTATTCATACGCGTGTGATATAGGGCACTTTCCATAGGTCTATATAGTGTGATATGTGTCACTTTCCTAAGTGGTCGTAGGAAAATATTTTTTATGTTTTTCTCTAGTTCCGGGATTCTTTCTTATCAGATGATTTGACAACACAGCTTTGAATCGTTATAATGGAATGTCACAACATGAAACCTTTAAAAAATGTGTTAAATTTCCATGCCATGCCCATAAACAATGTACATATTTAAAAAAGTTTTATCTTTTTTTATAATTCAATAAATAGTTATTTATGCAACAAGTGTGTAAAGTTACTTTTTTGACGAATGTGAATGTTGTCACATGAGTCAAAAAAAGGGACTTTACACACGAGTTGCATACAATATTTTTTCTACTACGGCACATATTATCCACTAATATTAAAAATATAAAAGTTACTTTTTTTAACTAAAATAACGTTTTTTCACTTTACGTACTAGTGAATAAAAGTACAACTTTACTCACTCCGTGGTCAGTTTAATTTTGAAATACTGTGTGTGTTACCATGTTGTTTATTTTGTGTTTAAAAGTATTATTATGATATTCTGATTTCAAAAATGTAGGAAAATGTTGAGACTAAAATTAATATTTATTAACCGAATTTAGAGACTTCTTCTTAGTTTGGATTTAAAACTGGTTTAATTCAATTAACGTTTAGTAGGAAATAGGCTATATTAGTGTGACGTAATTTGTATTCCATTGATAGTTAAGTCTTAACTGAATTTGACATTTACGTTATTTTTTAGAATATTTTTTGCAGGTCGTAAAAATGTAGTTAAAATGAATACAATCTTGAAAATAAATAAAATGAATCTGATTACCTACCTATTTATTTTTATGATTCTACTATCACTGTCATTGTCAGTGGAACACAAATTATGTCATCACTAATACAGCGAATTTATATTGCTTGAAATGCTGTTTGGACATTTTTTAATCGATAATTAAGTCATTAGCAGTTTTCAATCTGTTTATAAATAATTATTTGCATACTAAAAATTGCTTACCGGTATGAGTTCGTTTATGCGCCTTTAGATGTGAACTTTTCGTATAAACTTTATTACAACCGACAACGTCGCATCTATGTATCTTTCTTCTTCTGATAGTCACTTCCGGCGTTTTTGTATCTTCGTAATCTTTATTGCTGATACTAATTGTACTTGATTTGCTAGGCATTGATGATTCTAGAAGGGAGGTTCTAGTGATTGATCTGCAAAAAAATAAATATCGATTTTGTACTTGCAAGAATCTGTAGTAGAAATAACTAATGATGATATTATTTAATGAAATCATAATGTATAGATGACGCACCCCAAATTTGGACGTTCTTAGATTGTCATATTGATAATACACACAAAGAAAAAATAGCTTTACTAAAATTAATTTGATTTGATTTAAGACAAGTTGTTATTTGTATAAAGGGTTTCCCAAAATTTAGACGGTCATATTTTAACAGCGTAATCTACATCCTAAAATAGAAGTAAAAGTTCATACAAACATAGGTCCGAAAAATATTGTTTAAAATGGCAATCAAAACTATGGCAGTAACTGTAAGAAACAATTTAATAATTTCACTTAAAACGATAAAACAACCGATTTTAAATCCCAAATGAAAATTTTATTAGCACAGCTAATTTGCCAAATAACTAGTTTAATAACTCACAAGTATTAGAAATTAACAATTTAAACTACTTACGTTTTTCGCCTAAATTGAGAAACCGTTAAAAACACTTCAAAACTACAAGTAAAAAATATATTTGTTAAAATATCTTGTTTCCCTTTTAACATCAATGCAATATATATTTTGCCGCCATTAGATCGTGGATTATGAGAACATTATCCACGGGTATGCATTGAGTAACCATGGTTACATTAGGTATTTGATATGAGTGATATTTTATATAATTGTTGTTAAAGTTTTTCTACTTACAAAGACGTATCCTTTATCCTTTGAAACGCTAACAGGGCTGCTGTTGATGTAAGAGATCTTCTTGGGTCCGATAAACTTAGTCTGATATCTTGTTGGTTTATCACATTGCATTTAGGAATATCTGAAACAAAAATAAGTTATCAAAAATTATTATATTTGGCACCCAAAGGAGGACTTATTCTAGGACCTAGAGGGCAAAATTTTTATAATAAGTCAACAAATTCCGACAAAGAAAATGTTACCACATTATTTACAGTAAATGCACTTGGTGAATTCGCTCGCAGTCTGACTTTATATAAGTACGAACGAATCCCAGCATCATTAGTTAAAAAGGCTCTACCAAAATGGGCCAATGGTAAGACAGATAACGGATGGATGACTGGCAAGAGCTTCTTTGGATACATTGACAATATTTTTGTCCCTTGTTTGAAAGAAAAAGCCATCCATCTGCCAGTTGTGGTATTTCTTGATGGTCACGGATCGCATTTGATTTTGGGGTTAAGCCGTTTCTGTCGTTAAAACAAAATAATACTTTTGGCGTTATATCCCAACTTAACGCACATTTTACAACCACTTGACGTTGCTGTTTTTTGCCCTCTAAAGAAAATGTGGCAAAAAATTGTGCGAAAATTGATCATGATGGCAAAGCCATAAATAAAAGTGATGTCCGTAGAGTTTTGTTGAGTATTATAAAAAATCAGGCAATGTCTAATAATATTATATCTGGATTTAAAACAACTGGCCTCTATCTATTCAATGTTAATAACGTCGATTTTTCAAAAATAATTAACAGAGAAATTAAGACACCCAAAAAAATTAATGCTGAGGAAATTAAACAACATTTACAGTACATTGAAAGCAAAATTGAACCAAATATTTTTGTCCAATTTAGAGAAGCCAAAGATAGGAACTATAATTGGAATGGAAACCCAGAAGCCACAATGTTGTTTGATGTTTGGCTTCAGATATTTTATAAAGCTGAAACCTACAGCGATAATCATATTACAGCCAACAATGAACAAACATGGACAATCTTACCACAATATAAATCAATTTCAGAACAAAGTTTGGACCAAATAACACCAGAGGGAGACATTAGCTCCCAGAAAACTCCACCGTTATCTCCAGAAATAACTATTTACTTGCAGAAGAAAAATGAGTCAACACAGAGATAGAAACGTGTTTCAAAACTCCTGAAAAATTTATTTCCATTTTTTCAGAAATAAGGGTTTCTGTTCCACTTGTAGAACCATGAACATCACAAATATTGATACCTCCTAAGCGATTTTTGGTAAATATTTTTGACGATATAGTTCCATGGCTGAAACAGAAACCTATTTTAAATAAAAGGAAAAGAGAATATACCCCTAGTGTAATTACTTGTGATCATTGGGTTAAGTATTACAAACTAAAGGAGGAACAGAACATTGAAAAAGAAGAGCGTATAAAAAGAAAGAGCAGCAAAACGAACATTAAAAGAAAACACATTAAAACAGAAAGAAAAAGAAAAAAGTTGGTAAAAACTCTAAAAATCAAAAGATATTTAATGATACGAGTTCTGAAGAAGAAGTAGAATGGGAAGAAAGTGGAAGCAGCACTGAAGACGTAGACATTTTTGAATATCAAACTGCAAAAATAGAACTTCTCCCTATAGAAAAATTAAAAGTATAAGACTTTGTTTTGATAAGAGGACCTCAAGGACTGTTGCACCATTTTAAAAATTTCAGTGTCTAAATAGTCTAGACTAAAGTAAACAAAGTTTTCATTACATAGATAATAATACATCCTCAGTAAATAAATCCGACCTTCTAGGAAAATTACCAGAACCCAAATTTGTTAAGGAGGGCCGAATTCTCAAGATACATTTTTCAATTCCTATTGATGTTTTGGAACAAATTTAAGACTTGTTAAAGTTAGTTTAAAATAAAAATATAATAAATATCGTTTATATATTTAATTTTTACCTGTGAATATTCGATGGCTATAAATGGGAAAACCTGATGGTCATTAGTGGAAAAGTGTGGTCAAAAGTGGGGAAATGTACACTTTTTTGTTAATGTTTATTTTGTGATTATCTATTTCAAAGTGTAATTATAAAACCTTTGCTAATGTATTTAGAATACCTTTAACCACTCACTGTAATTTTGACGACAACTATTCTTTAGACGTTTCTTATGTAGGAGGGATTTTCTCTTAGAATTTTCTTAATGTGGCCATAACCGGTGCCAGCACCCTTCGTACGTGGTGATAATCTCTTGCGTTGCCCGAGTACTGGGACAGTGCTGCTTTTTCTAATAACGGACAGTAAATATTCGAAAGTTCGAAGTGGATGGTTCCTATTATTATAATCAGTTAATCGTGTGATGCCCGATCAGTTAAGTGTAAAGGTAGCAGCCGTAAAATTTTCAATTCCCAAAAGATCTATAGAGGATCTATAACTACTTAATAATTGTTTTGTTCAATAAATATAAATATATTATAATTATTAACCAGTTTTATAAGTCAGAATATACTGTCTGATATTGAAAAAATATTGGTGTCCGGTACAAGGAAAAGTTTTCAAAATGTAATTTTAAACTTTAAAATTAAACTACCTTATAAAATTCTTATTAAACTATTAAATTTACCAACTTTTGAGTAACATTATTGCCTCTCAGCTCACATTTTATTACGAATAACATTATTAAATAAAGTTGGAGATACTTTAATTGTCCGGTAATATTTATGTAAAGTATGTTTTTTTATCTAGAAGTCTTCCTGATATTATGGTAATTTAATTCGTTTACTAAATACTGGCATGTAGGTTACCCAGCAGCCTTTTCATTTGTTGATGGAAATAGAGATAAAAACTATTCATATAGAATCAAATAGACATTATTAAAATTGATTGGTACCTATTAAGTGGATATGATTTTACCGGATGTCTAAATGTACAGGTCCATAGAAAATGGGGATCATTATTTAAAGCAGCATGGTGAACATAATTGAGTTTGGACAAGATGGATAATAGTGCTAATGCCCATTAAGTACAGTTTTTTATTTGGTTACTGTTTGAGGATAATTATATAATTGTGTTAAAACCAGTAGTTATTTTCTACATTAAATAAACCTAAATCAGTTTCAGAAAATATAAATGTAGAAATGTGTTTAGAAACAATAATACTAAAATTCTTTTCTTTCTTATAGAAATTCATATGGAGACACACACCACCGTCTTATTTTTAGTTGTTTGAATTATTTAACGACGAACAACTATAGACTAATCCATTAATTCATAAATAAGCATTTGTTTATTTGCAAGTATTCAATAGTTTAATGTTAGGCAGATAGAGCTGTCGCATCGGCTGCCGCATTAGGAAGAGCGAGATGCCCACTAAATTAAGTGGGGGATGGTGTGTATAGCATGCGTTTTATGAATGAATCAGCACTTACGACTACGATGCTTGCTTTACATTGTTGTCACACTCCAAAATAAATTACTTACTTTCATTACCTTTAACTACAATAAATATGGCATTAAGAATGCAAATATACTTTCTTAATGTAATTTTAAAAGACTTTTGTGGGTTTTAGAGCCTTTTTTTTTGAGTAACTTCCAACTTTTAACCACAAGCAACCCTTGCACTAGACTCTCTCATAATAATTTGGCAAATGCGTTCGATAATAATATGAATACTTGCAATAATTCGTCTTTTATAAACAAAATTGATCTAGTATAACGTTTTTAAAATACAATGCATTTTTTTATTGTTGTCATTGTTAAACGTCAAATAAATTATTTAAAGTTTTTAAATTTTTTTTAAAGGATTTTATTTTAGTGGATACTCATTGTAACTGAAAGTGATAAGTAAAAATAATTGTTTTAAGTTCAAATAAATGTGTATCTTATGCGAATAACATACAGAATGTTGAAGTAACGGTTATTTTTGTACGAGTTTTAAGGAACTCCAGAATGGCGTAAAGAATGAGTAAAGGGCCCAAATATTTTTACATGGACAGGCGTAAGTGGTAAAGGGACAACCTATTTTAATATGGACAGGCTTAATGAATAAAGCGATAAAATATTTTGACATGGAGCTGCTTAAGATATAAATGGGCCAAATATTCTTACATGGGTAGGCGTATGGGATAAAAGGATCAAATATTTTTACATGAGCAGACTTAAGAGGTAAAGAGACCAACTATTTTTACATGGGCAGGCTTAAGTAGTAAAGATACCAAATATTTTTTAAAGAAAATAACGTTTTTAAAAATATAAAGATAACTAACCCAATTAAAATTAAACAAAAATTTGACATAACATTAAATCAAACAAAATATTGGAACCAATTTTTCATCAAGGTGAACTAAGATCGGACTACTAATTCTAATTTAGGTAAAAGATACTTGTTGCTGTCAAGCAGGTGCCTCGAGTAATGAACATAATAGTCCAATATTAGGAATATCCCAATGCTGCACGACCAAGGTATTTTCAAGTATAATTAGCGTACCCCAAAGAAGTGTCTTGGTCCCGTATTGTAGCTTCTTTACATGACTGATTCCTTCATTTCATAAGGACGCCGAAGTAGCACCACAAAGACTACACTAGAAAAGCTAAATAATATTACACAGTGTGGAGACAAATTTGCGGCTTACTTACAACATTTGGTTGATTGGATTTTTTTTTTTGTATACTTTATTTGTGGAATCCTATTTTGTAAGAATGTTCTATTGTCGATCATACTTTCTTCTATAAAATAATGTATATTCAAAATGCGTATACTGGCACAAAGGCGGTAAGAGCATAATAAATAAAATCTAGATAATTTTCATTTTAATGAAGATTGCCAGGAAATAGAGTTATTATATAAGTAATAAAAAAGATGACCGACTATAATAAACCAATTTTATATTTTTATTTCACAATATATAATGTTGGTAAAACAGTTAAGACGATATAAAGATATGATACTGATTACTAGTGATAATAGTAATCCTGATGAATGAAGGATAAGTAGGTATTATAGGAATACTACCATACCGGTACAAATTGGTAATTCCACCATACTGTTATTACAATAAGCCTCTCCCGATAGTCCTATTTTCTATTGAGAACAACAAATATGTATGGCATCTCCCTTC